TGTTTAAGATCATCTTTGTAGGTATTGTTGATTCGTGGGATCAGACATAATTTCACGAAATTTTTATAATAATATATTAATGTTAAAGTAATTTTCTATTATAACTCAAATCAAGTGATATTCAATTTTTCACTTGTTTATGTAGAAGTTTAACGAAGGACACCTTTCTCTCCCGATGACTTAGGCAACGTCCATAGACGTTAGGAATTTAATTTCAATGTCTTAGTTGAAAAGGGGGTGGTACTTATGACTTTGTATCTGATGTTTGTAAATATATTGTTGCTTAATTTGATATTTTATAAATATTTAGTTACTATACATATAATATACAAGTAAAAAATACAGGTTTGTAATATATGGAAAAATAAAATAAAATAAAATAAATTATTTCATCACGGTTATTTATATGAACCATTGTTATAAATATAACGTGTAATATTATAAACCATACAGTCATTGGATTTAGAACCCATTGCCTTTTGTTTTATATCACAACGGTTGTAAACTTTGACGGTTGTGATATATAGCGCACTACCTAGTTTATTACAGCGGTCATATGCTCATGGTGGAAAGAATCATACATACAATCACACTTTACCTCACAACGAATGATCGGACGTGGTTTTATCCCTTTTCCAACCGCTATGAGATTTGTTTTTCGTAGTAGTGAATATTACAACTCAAATACTCTATTATCATAACTTAGAAGTAAGGCGTGTGAATAAAGTAATGCACAAAAACAAAAACACACTACTCAAAACAAATAAACAGTCCAAGCTTAGTTATGCAAGGTGTGAGTCTTCACAATGGAGAATGCCTCCTTAAATAGAATCAAAGGTCCAAATTCAAAATCCCATTATGGTTTTGGTCTTGAACATGAGTGAATTTCTCAAAGGCACAAACAACCAATCTTCAATTATGTTGATTGAACATTTTTGATAGATTAAATCTTTAACAAATCAAAATATTTCAAATTTAACATTTCTAAAAGTGATTATGGGCAAAACTTGTTTATTTCAAAAATCACACAAAATTTAAAACCCTAATTAAATATAAATGGAAACAAATCCTTAAAGGCGCGAGAATTACCCAGATCGTCTTGCGTGTGAAGTAACCCAGGGTTATACATAAAGTTTTACATAATGAAGGACATTATACTTAACATGTTACTTTCTTACAAAAGTTACTAGAACACATAGAGACAAGATGTCTCACATCTTGGTAGAACATCTTGATTCACATGTTGTCTATAAAATGTTACCAATCAAATGTAATAAGAAACCCCCCATTTGATGATTTTTTAGGAAAATACAAGATGCAAGATGTGAGGCACAATCTTTCAAACATTCTTACAGACAATCTTCATAGTGCACTGAAACTAACCAAGTAACGTGTTAGCTAACAACAATTTTATATGATTCACAGAAAATAGGATATCTCAAAACATATATAAGCACAACATATAAGCAGTGGGACTTGCATTTCATCTCCTCTTATTTGCCACAAAATGGAAAATGGGTTTTTAAGTAATATCCAACCAAGAACATGCACAGGTACCAGGAAAAAGATAAAAGCACAGCTCAAATATAGGGTAAAGTAACCATTATCCAACCCATGAAGGGAAATCATATATGTAGCTATTACAAAAAATACCGACGCAAATAGAGTCGCCATCGAACGTTATTTATCTCAAAGAATGAAAAGAAAAACATTGAGAAAACCTAAGAAAGGGAAAGAACATGGTCTTGAAACCAAGGTAAGTGTATAAAAGTTGATTAGGAAGGGGGAAGGTGTTAGCAGCCCTCATGTCCGTTGTACTCAATGGGATCCACTCTAGTTGTTATAATCAAAGGGTGTGTTATATCTAAAGCTTACTTGCTAAGGGAATGCATGAGAGAATTGTATGGAAAAAACAAAAGGTTTTTATTATTGCGCTCGCTTCAGTTTCAAAACCTCGTGCCAACATATCCTCGTCATAAAATAGGGTATCAGAGAACCATAGTTCTTCTTAAAAAAATTGGTTTGTTGGTGTTTCTTAGTATGCAATGCTACATTCATGTTCTAGAAGTTAGGTGTTTGTCGCTCGACCTTTGGAGACTCATGTGTTACCTGTTTTCGATAAAACGGAAATAACATGCCATTTCCTAAAAAGGTTTTCAAAAGACAATCCCTAAGGCACAAAGAGTTTAGATTTGTTGAGTGTTTTTGCTAGGATATTCCTCAAGTGGTTACTGGGGGTACTTGAATCCATCTCCTTTAAGTTTTGAAATTGTTTGATATATGCATTATACTAAAGTCTATGACATGAAGACTCTTGGATGATAAAGTCAAATGCCTCGGATTCGAAGTCCTCTTCATGTACTTAAGGCTCATGGCGTATTATACATATCTTTATTCATTAATTTTTTTTTAGTTTTCTAACAAGAAAGAGTTTTAATCTTACAAGATGCAATTCAAAAAGAAACAAAAGTCTAAGGGATCTCAATCCTATTAGTTATCATGCAATGATGGTCCTAGAGTGAGGATACAAAGAAATCTACCTATATTATCATGCTTGGATGTCAATCCTAAGGTCTATACCAATTCAAATATTAACAAGATTTAATCAAGAGATCCTAAGGGTGTATGTTATAACACAAATCAATCAATGTGACACCTAACCAAGCATCAAGGCGTTACACCAAACATGAGAGTTAACAACCAAAATGCATCTTAAACACCTAACAAAGCATCAAGACAATTACACTTAACCAAGTGCATGCATTAAAGATAACAATAAAACATCTTAAGCATTTAACCAGAAAAATTAAGACAAGATCAAGCTTACAAGAAAATGTTAAACATCAATTGAAACACGAAGGTAACAACCCAAAATGAAACTCCAAATACCTAACAAGGCAACACGACAAACACGCCTTTGAAACTCAAAGGTAATAACCAACAAACATCTTAACTACTTAACCAAGAGACCAAACATGAGAGGTAACAACCAACATGCATCTTAAACACTTAACCAAGAATTAAGATAATCACACTTAACCAAGTGAACATACAACATACTTAACCAAGTGCATGCATTAAAGGTAACAACAAAACATCTTAAGCATTTAACCAAAAATATTAAGACAAGATCAAGATTACAAGAAAATGTTAAACATCAACTTAAACCTAACAATATTTAAGCTAAATTAATACTTAACCAAGTATCATGCTAACAAGAAAAAACCTAAACCTAACAAGATTCAAGTTTAAACATCACTTAACAAAGTAATCATGCTAACAAGCAACAACTTAAACCTAACAAGATTTAAGTTTAAACATCACTTAACAAAGTAATCATGCTAACAAGCAATAAGTTAAACCTAACAAGATTAAATTTTAAACATCACTTAACAAATTAATCATGCGAACAAGCAACAACTTAACCCAAACAAGACTAAAGTTAAACAACACTTAACCAAATAATCATGCTAAAAAGCTACAACCTAGACCCAACAAGATTCAAGTTAAACATTACTTAACCAAGTAATCATGATAACAAGCAATAGCTTAAACCTAACAAGATTCAAGTTAAACACTACTTAACCAAGTACACATGCATTAGAGGTAACAACCAAACATCTTAAGCATTTAACCAAGAAATCAAACATGAGAGATAACAACCTAAACATGTTTCAACTTCTAAACCCTAAGTCAATTGATTCAAGTTCTAAAATAAAGCATAAATACATGTCAAAAGACAATTGATCAAATTCAAATTACAGACCCTAAGGTTCATACTATTAAGGGTCATGCATCAAGGTGTCAACCTAAATAAAATAATTTCAACAAGTGCCTAAGAAAACAAGCATTTAGATATCAACAAATCAATCAAAGCTTAGCACACTAAGATGCTTCAAGGCATGCAAGATAAACATCAAGACTTGGAAACAACATACCTAAAAGAATCAACTCAAACATTGCTCAAGACAAGAAGAAACTTCACAAAAATATTGATCATGTGTTAGGGCAACAAGCTAACAAGCAATCACCAATTTACATCACCTAAGTAACCACTTAGAACAAATACTTTAATTGATCAAACTTCAAGATAAAATAGACATCAAGGCATGGTATCAACTTGAATAAGCTCTACTCAACCCCATCTTAAAGCAACAAGAAGTTTCAAAGAACACTAGATTACAAACTAGGTCAAAGTTAAACAAACATCAACTACTTGCATCATCAAAATGATTCACTTAGTAAAAGACCTATAAAGGCTCAAAACACCCACACAAAAATGCATTCAAGCATGCTAATAATCACATTACATGTGTCAAGGAGTTTCATCAAAAATATTTCACAAGTGCACCTCAAAGCATTGGCAACAATCTCTAAAAGGATCAACAATCATCATCACAAGTTGATTCTTAACTACGCAAATACAAAGCCTACAGAGGTAGGACTTCAAATCATGGCATCTCTATCCTACTTATCATGTCAAGAATGGTAAAAGATGGTGCTTAAGTGAGAGAGTACATAGAGATTCAAGTGGTACCTAACAAAGAAGGTCCATTGCCACTTCAAAGCCACACAAGCGATAAAAACACTCTACATAAAGCTTCCTTGATGAATATTGGGCTCTTAGTTTGATTGGAAAAACTATTGAAACCAAGTCTCTTTTATTCAACATTATCACACAAAATTGGTACTAAAATCTACCAAAAGATCATGGCAAAAGTAATAACAAAAAATTAATCATGAAATGCAAACTAGAGAACTCTAATTAAATTTCAAAGAAAAATCCTAAAATCAATTAGCATACTTTTTGATGTCTTTTTATTATTTTTATCATGCAAAAATGATCAAAATTAATAGAAAACAATTAAAATTCTACACAGACGGGGTGCTAAATAGGATACAAGGTGTGTAGATCGAAATAGCAGCTAGGCCCATGGAATTTTGGTCCACAAGCAGTTTTTTATTGGCAGCATCTCAAATGTACAAAAAAAAAAAGCACAATGGGCTCATCGTCGCTCCTCTTTTCTTCTCCGAAACCACACACAACCGTCTCCATTCGTTACAGCTCATCTCATGCTTCGCCATCATTTCGTCTCGACCTCTCTCATCTCCAATCTTCGTCGCGGCCTCCGCGACCTTTGTCTCACAGAGACAATGTCCGGCGCTTCTTCGATTTTGATTCAGGTACGCATCTTCTCCATTTGCTTCTTTCTTCTCCTTTTTGTGCGCTTCTGCGAGTTTCCTGTGCGATGTTGCTCGCGTTTATTGCGTGTCGAAGTTGTTCTTGCGCGTTGTGCAGAAATTGGTGGTGATGTTGCAGTGATGAAGAGTGGAGCGAGGAAGATGATGAAGGTGTTGTGTTGTTATGGAGAGAGCAGGGGAAGTTGATGGTTCCGAGAAGATGAAGGTTGAAGGAAATGGAGGTTTGAAGAGAATTTCAGAGAGAGGTTGAGAAGTTTTCAGAGTTCGCTCGTGATTTTCCAAATGATTGAAGAATGAATAGAATTTGCCAGGTAACTATGTTATAAACTTGCTGAAAGTTTGTTACAGTTTGAACGATCTTGGCCTTTGGTTTAAATCAGTCTGTTAGAGATCGAAGGATGAGATTAATTCTGTTAGTTATAGAGCTGTCAAAATATTTAAAGTCGATGAAGATGTGAAGTTGGTGAAGTGGAATTTCATGGAGCAAACACGAGGAACGGTTGAAGATGGGAGCAAAAGCATGTAGATGGAAGCATGAAGTTGGATTTGAAGATAAGGATAGGTTTGGCATAGATTTCTCTTTGATGTAACTCTTTCTTTCTTGTAATCTTCTTTGTAATGTTTCAACATGTAATGGCACAATGTGGATTGAAAAGAAATTATGAATTCCATTTGAAAATGAAATCTTTTGAGTGAACTTGAATGAATCTTGTTTCTTCTTGAATGTCTTGGATAATACTTGAAATTTGAATTTGAATTATGTTGAATAACCTTTGTATCGATACTTGAATGAATATTGGCAACCATTAATTAATCTTGCAATCTTGCATACGCGGTCCTTACTTCATGTTCAAATCCAAATCAACTTTCTCTTGAAGCAAACTTGTCGCACAAAACCTTGGCTTGATGCATCAAAAGACAGATGACTCAATCACATGCGCAAACCATGATTCTTGTCTTATAGCTAAAAAATATCTTGAATTGAACACTTTGAAAATATAGAATCAAAGAATACCATGCTATAATGCCTTGCAATCCAAGCCTCAACCGATTAGAGAACATGCCCAAAACCCTAATTTGATGGATGATGAAAAAATGAATCCTTGATTCACACTTCAATCAATAAAACAAACCACTTGACCTGATGAAAGGTTGAATAAAACATCTTGACTAAATCTAAAGAAATGTGACTTGATCCACAAGTTTCAAGGAAATCCTTAGATGAAGATTAAGAAAATATGATTAATGTGGCTATGAAAACAAACCTTGCACCTTGTTTCCAGTGATTTCTGGTAAACAACCGCTAGTCTTCCAAACTATCGAATAATCTTTCTTACTGTTATTCAATTCCTCTGGTAACTCACAGGATCGACTAGATTGATCCTAGGACTCCTTGGATATTAAGGTTACTCTCACAATCGAACAGATATTCATGGTTGATATTGTATAGGTGTTTGGCTTGTTTCGATCTCTCTCTCTCTAAGAGTCTAAAGATGTAATCAAAATGTGTGTGAAAACTAAGTTACACGAATGAATGCTAATTGTAATGCTAATTGTAAAGACATGTAAAACTGCATAAAAATGAAGTAAATGGCTTCGACTTACAAAACAGTTAATATAAAGGATTTCTGGAGCGTAAAAGTTTGAAATGTGAAGAAAGCGTTTAATACAAGAAATCTGTAAATGATTTTAAGTAAACATATGCGTTCGAATGATAAGACTTGAAGGTAAAGGTATGGAAAATATGACAGTTTTCTGAAATATAAAGTGCTCGAAATATAAAGAAAACATCAAAATGTAAAACTTTGAAGAAGAGATTTCGAAGTGAAAAGACTGTAAATAAGAAAACTTGTAAATGTTGTTTGACAAAAGGAATAAAGGAAAGTACTGGAAATGGTAAAAGGTTTTCATTAAATCAGAAATACATGGTGCTATCATACATACATTTCTCTTGCATTCGTTTCCCTTGCCATGTGGTAGTTTGAATGTTATTGAGTATTTTGTATAATAGATATGACACACGAAATCCTAATACTAAGACTTCTATTTATACTAATTCGACCATAACGGTCTTGCTATAGGATTATGCCACGTTTCGAACATGCAGGACAATGCTTCTTTCATCTTTCCACGTGTCCCCAAATGCTCCAACACATAACTTTCAACTTTGAAAGTCCCGCTTCCATTTGAATTTCAAATGCTTTGGTGTTTCTCCGTTTCGAACGCTCTTCCCAGACACAGCCTCACTGTTGTTTCGAGACTCCTTTAGATATGTTCCCATAATTGCCGCTCGAAGCTCGAAGCTTTGACACACTTATTCGAAACACTGCTTCTGCTACTTCGAAATATGACGTTTAATTCCATTTCGATCAAAACGTTTAACTCATTTGGCTTCTATTATCAAAATCTTCAGCCAACAAATTGCCCCTTTAAAATATGTATTTCGATTCCTCTGAGAAATACCTATTTTAAACACCTACACAAGATTTTGATAGGACTTTCGAATCGTCGTAACATTTAATGTATTTGACTCCAGTCACATCAATCATAGCACCTTTTGGATTCCTTAACCGCCCGGAGCCACTTCACAGCGTGGTGCAGTTATAAATAATGATTATCTCTAAATCACGCCTATTACCTATGTTAACTTCACGCCACCTCTTCATCACACCAACCCACGATCTCCACGTATCACACCTCTATTCGGTGGATGCTTAAACTTCCCCATTATAAAACATCAACTTAATCTTCTTCTTTTATTTTCATACTCTAAATCTTTCACACTCTGAATCTTTTACCCTCCTTCTCTCATAAAACAATCTAAGCTTTCAACATCTTTCAAAATGTCTTCTTCTACTTCATCCCAACTCAAGAAATTCTCCAAGAAGAAAGGAAAAACTACAGGAGCTACCATGGAAAGTAAAATCATCACCATCCAAGGCCAATCTGCTCTTGCCCCTCAGATGATTTCCAAAGAAAAAGAAATGCTGTATGCGTCACAGGTACTCATTCCTACCCACGTTGCTGGTAAGAGGTTAGCTTTAAATGGCCCTCTTACGGTTTTTGAAATATTAAAGGACACCAGGACGATTTTCCCAGTTTGTTATAGCTTCAAACCCTTATTTAACAAAATGGACGCCCCTAAGGCAGTAGAATCTCCTAGTTCAAATACCATAGAAACCCCAACTATTCCTCCTAAGGACCCCTTTGTTTTGGATTATGTAAAAAGTAATTTTAAGCCATTTCGATCTTGCCCTACTTCTGATATTGCTTATCAAAATTGGTTCACGAAAGTAGAAGCCAAGAAATCCCAGCAATGGGAAGAATTAGGCATTTATAACCTGATTAAGCTATCGAAGCCTGGTTTCACCTACAGCCACCCTCTGCTATTCGCGTCCCTTTATTTCTGGGACAACACCTACAATACTTTCTGTGATCGGTGGATCTGGAACTGACTGTTTAACGCTGGTTCGCGAAATGTCGCGGAAGCAAGAGTCGCCACCGTCTTTTATTTTCTCCAAATGGAAAGGACAAAAGCACAGAAAAATTCCTTATAGAGATTGCTCTCGGTTCGGGAGGTAGATTATAGAAAGGGAAGGTGTTAGCACCCTTTCTATCCATGGTTATCCATGGGCTCTTAGATACTTGCTCAATGTGTTTTCAAAAATGTTTGCTTGCTTTTCAATGTGGGTTTAAAAATGTTTCTTTGAAAAATTTCAGATCGACTCATACGTCAGAGTGTTTGAAAAATTTGCTTTGAAAGCTTTTGAAAATGTGTTGGTGAAAAGATGTTTTGATTTGTTTGAAGTTAGAGCAAGTATCCTTGAGAACCTACCTACCCTAAGGAATTCGTCTGTGTAAATGTCCTTAAAAGTAGTGCCATCCCACCATTGAGAGGTAGGTAGCACCACCGTTGGAGGTGTTCGGGTCAATTCGAGGTTCGGGACATGGTGATCACCAGAGCAATGGGAAGACACCTTAGAAGCTACCCTCATGCCAGGTTCCCGGATCATGAGGACTTACTAAGACGTTTTCTACTCGACGATCACCTTTCGAGGCAAGGCAACAATGAGGCGTACCCTAGGGGTGGTGTGTGCGAATTGTGTGTCATGTTTCAGTTATTTGTCTTGTCATGTTTGTCGTGTTCTACGCTTGATTTTAATTTAAGTCCATTCATTCTTTCATGCTTGGTTAACAGTTAAATATTTTGCGAAGAAATAAATCTACGACTATTACAAATGGCGCGGGTCCACATCGCCAAAATTAAACCGGACCCGATTTAGCGGAAAAATAAATAATGCGAAGAAAATAAAGTGCGAAAAGTAAAGTTACAATGCTTCGGGGCAATTACATAATTATAATAAGCGATAATAAAATAAATGCGCAATTAAATGATTAATGACGGGCGTTGGACCCTTTTTGTAAATAATTAAAAGTTAATGAGAATTAAAAATTAAATGATTAAATGAGAATGATATTTTTTTGTGTTTTTTAGATTTAATGAAAAAAGAAAAGGGAATTAATTAAAATTAAATTAAACGGCAAACCCTAATTCTAATATTTTTTATTTATTAAGAAAAGAATTAAAATATGATCTAAATTAAACCTAAAATTTATTATGTACAATTTTTTTAATTTATGAAAATAAATAATAAATAAATAATATTGTTATTCTGAAAAAAAAAGGGAAAAATATTAAAAGGAATAAAAAAATTAATTAACCTAATTCTATTTTGTTGGATTTTTATTATGGAAAAAATATAAATTAAACCTAATTTGAAATTAATTTATTTACATGCTAATAATAAAATAAATATTATTTTTGGTCTTTTTCTGATTTTTATAATGTTTTTATATTTTATAGAAAAAATAAATTAATTAATTAAAGCAATAAAAATAATATAATACAATAATTAAAACAACAAAAAGAAAAGAAAATCAAACCAGGGTGGGGTGTTGCCCCAAATCAGGAGGTATAGGTCCAAAGATCAGGCCCAATAAGCTTCAGTCTTCATTGACTTTTTTGGATTGTGTGTGATGCTTTGACTCACGCCTATGGTGTACTTTCAATATTAGCCCTTGATCTGGGACCCTCAGGCATATGTACGCTTAGATGAGAAGGACGTATGGTACGTGCACAGTCCTGGAGCTACATGGGATTTACAATTGAAAAATAATATAGGATTTGGCCAGACCTGGGACTTGAACCCAGGTCTTGAAGGTCACATGCCTTAGTCCCTGCCAGCTGAGCTACGCAAATTCATTTAATATATAATAAACAATAAAGAATATAATAATAATGCGTTAGCTGTTTTGGAATTTCGCGCGAATTTCAAACTGTCCAATGGTTGATGGACACGTCTTCGTCTCCTTCCCCACCCTGTAAAACAAAACTCAAGGGGAACGGTTTTTTCAGCGTGGTTTAAAGAGGGATTCAAGAAAATAGCGAATAGAGATATATGAAACATAAATTCATCGCGAGTATGCATTCATCTTTGTCTTGGTGCGCTGAACTCAACCATGGTATCCATTGGTCCTGATTTTTCCTATATAGAAAATCCCTAATTCGAGTTCCTGAAAAACCTAACTTTTGGCAATGGCATCATCGTATATAGTCAATGAAAATACAATTAAATACCACAGTTAGTTTTAGAATTTCACAAAGAATAAGAATCAACAAGCAAAATTCATGAAAGATGCTTAGAATATGATATGCGTTCAAGAATTTTATGCTATACAGTCCAAAGCCTCGTTACCAATTCTTGAGGTTT